TTAAAGACGTAACACTGAATGAAGATAAACAGAACTGCGTTTATTAAATCGAAGGAGTCGACCGTAATCCAGTGTATGTAGGAGAGGCATTCACATAGGTAAAAGTGTCAGGGTGGATGAATAGCACATAACTATCTGGAATGACTAACTAAACTTCGCCTGGTTAACTAGTTCACTAGTTACTAGCCGGTCCTAAGCCCCAATAAAGAGGGAAGGTTGGGCATAGGGCTAGCAACCATACCCCGTAAAACAAATCTAACCGCTAAAGAAGCTTCAAAACACAAACGATATATAAAAAATAATAACAAAATTATTCCTCGCTGGAATCGGAGAGGCGAAATGACGCCAGTTGGTGAAAGCCTGTCTTCGGGAAGCCAATTGGCTGGGCCGATGTGTCTTCTCTCCCTCAATGAAAGCGAAAGTAAATGTGGGGACATGGAATGTCCACACCATGCTTGAACCCAGCGAGGCAGCCCAGATTGCAAAGGAGATGAAGAGGTATCACATCGAAGTGCTTGGAATTTGCGAAAGCAGATGGAATGGGAGTGGAGTCTCCAAGCTGTCAACTGGAGAATCAATAATCTACTCCGGTCACCCAGACGACAACCACGAGCACACTGAGTTATGGAGTGGCTATCATGATGTCCCCAACAGCATCGAAGGCTCTCATGCAGTGAGAACTAATCTCCTCCAGGATCATGACAGCAAGGTTCAACTCAAAAGGAAGGAAGGACACAATCATACAATGCTATGCACCTACAAATAATGCAGAGCAAGAGAAAAAGGAGGAATTCTACAGACAACTTCAATCAACACTGGACAAGACACCGCCTCAGTTGGCGATATCAAAATTCTAATGGGCGACATGAATGCCAAACTGAGAGGGGACAACACAGGAAGAGAATTAACCATGGGTAGAGAAGCGCTCGGTGAGGTGATGGACGAGAATGGAGAATTGTTTGCAGAATTCTGTGCATTCAACGATTTGGTGATTGGAGACAGTGTTCAAGCACAAGGATATCCACAAAGCGACATGGATTTCACCAGATGGACACACTAAAAATCAAATCGACTTTATCTCAATCTCAAGAAAATGGAGACGCAGTCTAGTTGACACAAGGTCAAGAAGAGGAGCAGATGTAGGTTCACATCACTCACTATCTAGTGCAAGCAACCTTCCAAATCAAGTTAAAAGCCTTCAAGGAAGTTGGTGATAGACCGCAGTTCAAGTACAACACTCGGAAACTGAAGGATGAAACTACAAAGGAAATCTTCACGTCAGCCATCAAGACAAAATGGGAGACATCGAGCAACATCCCTGAAGAAACCTGTGTGGAAGAACACTGGGAGTCTTTGAAAGAGATATGGAAAGAAACCTGCCTAGCAGTATTAGGAAGGAAGAAGAAAGAAGATAAGGAATGGATCTCAATGGATATACGGAAGCTGGTAGAGGAGAGGAGGATGGTGAAGCAGAAGATAAACCAGTGCAAGGATGCTCAACGACAAGAGGAACTGAGCACAATGTATAAAACACTACACTGGACAAAGAAGTGAAGAGTAGTGCACGCAAAGACAAAAGACACTTCTACAAAACACTGGCAAGTGAAGCAGAACAGGCTGAAGGTAAGAGAGATCTGACAACACAGTATCAAATAACCAGGTTGCTATCTGGGAAGAGATCAACGCAGACGAAACCAATAAAAGATGATGACGGAAATTTAATTACGAAAGAAGAGAAACAAAGGATACAATGGGCCGACCACTTCAAGAAGCTCTTGAATCGACCACCACCTGCACTTCGTCCAGAAATACCACCTGCAGCCGCTGAACTACAAGTGAACATAAATCCTCCAACAAAAATGGAAGTCCTGAACGCCATAAAGCTACTGAAATGTGGGAAAGCAGCAGGACCAGATGGGATCCCACCAGAAGCACTGAGAACAGACTCAGAGACAACAGCGGACATGCTCACACCACACCACTATTGCAGAAGGTGTGGAAGAAAGAGAAGGTAACTGGCGATTGGAAGAGGGGTTACCTTGTCAAACTGCCGAAGGGAGACCTCAGTGTTTGCAAGAACTGGCGTGGAATCACTCTCCTGTCCACCCCAAGTAAAATATTAAGCCGCATCATCCTGGAGAGGCTAAAGGATGTGCTAGATTCAAAACTACAACCGGAACAGGCAGGCTTTAGGAAGTACAAATCATGTGTGGACCAAATTGCAACGCCACGCTACGCATCATCATAGAACAGAGTATAGAATGGCAGTCAACACAACTCCACCTCAACTTCATCGACTTTGAGAAGGCCTTTGACAGCGTCGACCGAGAAGTAATTTGGAAACTGCTTCAATACTACGGAATATCGCAAACTTTCATCAGCCTCATTCAACAACTATATGAAGATGCCACATGCCAAGTAATTCACAATGGGAAGCTCAGTGATGCTTTTGAAGCGAAGACAGGAGTGAAACAAGGTTGTCTACTATCACCCATGATATTCCTGATTGTGGTCGACTGGATCATGCAGCAAACAGTGGGGAGCGAGAAGAGGGGGATACGCTGGCTGGACTGCGGAAAAGAATCTAGAAGATCTGGATTCCGCCGATAACGACTTGTGCCTGATGTCACACAAACTTGAAGATCTTCAGGCGAAAACTAACAAGTTGGCAGAAGAGGCGGGGCAGCGAAGACGGGACTTCAGGTGAATATAGAGAAGACAGAAGTGATGAAGATACCGCACCAACAGCTCCAACAACAACAAACTCCAATCACCATCAATGGGAGAAACTTAAAGGAAGTAACCTCCTTCACCTATCTAGGAAGCACTGTTTCAACCACAGGCAGCACAGGCACTGACGAGGATGTCAAAGTCAGAATCGGAAAAGACAGCAAGACAGGCGTTCATTAGCCTGAAACCAGTATGGAGATCTTCTGCACTCAGCATGTGCAACAAGATCCGGATTTTCAACACCAACGTCAAGTCAGTGCTTCTGTATGGCTCAGAGACTTGGCGCGTTATGAAAGGGATTTCCAGCAAACTACAGACATTCATCAACAACTGCTTACGCTCGCTACTGAAGACCAGATGGCCAGAATAATAAGAATAAGCAACAAGGAACTCTGCTTGGAAACGAACCAACCAAGAACCTATCACCCAACAAATATGCAGTGGAAGTGGAGATGGATTGGGTATACACTGAGAAGGCCGACTGGGGACATCACGCGTCAGGCCAGGTACTCGAGTGGAATCCCCATGGGAAACGACGAGTTGGACGTCTGAGGGTGACATGGAGGAGATCGTGCGAGGAGGAAATGAGAGCTTCTGGGCTGTCGTGGAGCCAGGTTCAAAAGATTTCACAGAACAGGGTGAACTGGAGACGTGCTACTGAAGCGGTATATTCCATTAGGAACTCAAGGGACTAATAATAATAATAATAATCTGGAATGACTAGTTTGGCACGTGTTACCTTTTGTTTTTGCATACTGTCAATGATTAAGGATATGAATAGGGAGGCGCAGCACACAACATGATGCATATATTTTCATATTCAATGATTAGGAACCATATTTTTGAAGCGATGTTTACGCGAACACCTCACATAGTTAAATGGTAATTTATTTTTGATGAGATCCGTTGGTTTGACTGTTGTGGATATCCCACGCCTTCAGAGATTCCTTCTAATTGCTTTGGATACACCTTTTTTGTATGATAATACTTCTGTTGTTGACTTTCGTTTCTTCTCCTTGGTATTATCTTTTATGGAATGTTCTAGATACTGATTGTTTAAAAACTTCGCGAATAAAACATTCGTCTCTTTTTGTTGGTCGTCACCAGAGCATGTTGTCAATCTGCATATCCTATTTTCATGACCCTGTGTTAACTCTCGTTTCATTGTGGTTGGATGGGCTGAGTGGTAATGCTGATATCTCCTCGAATGCATTGCTCTTTTGCATATTGTTGTGTTTTGGGTGGAGTTGTGATTTTATGGTTTAGTAAGTTAACTTCCAAGCTGTGGACTAGGGGTTCGAGCACCAGTCCACCATCCGAGGTTTGAACAGGCAGGCAGTATTATTTCACCCTCATACAATAGGTGTGGCTCATTGCCTACTTCACAGATGTGTAAAAGGTTGATGAATGGATTTCGATACCGTTATTTTCAAACCGGCATCCATCGTTCTCTTGCCTTTGCAGTCAAACATTAGCAGCCCCTACTAATTCATGCTAACTGAAGACCTTGGGTGACAGTCGCGCTATGTCGTGAATTGACAGAAGTTGGAAATTGTGAACCACTGGAAGCCGACCCAGTGGCTGAATGGTTAACGCGTTCGCCGTGAAACCTGAAGGTCCTGGGTTCCACCCCTAGCCTGGTCATGGGTGCGTACTGCTGAGGAGTCCCATACTAGGACGAAACAGCTGTCCAGTGCCCCCAGATTCCCAGTGGTTCCCCAACTGATGTCAGTCAACGACGAATACTACTGCTAAATTAAAAATCCCCATTCATCTCAAAAAATACATATCTATATATGTTTATTCAGACACTCAGATTATTTTAATAGAGATCAACGTCTTTTTAAGTATTTGAACAAAGCAATAAATAAGATATATGTAGAATAGAATATGCACATTCTGTTCCGCGAACTTCTTTGCTTAAAATAATAAAAGGAAGTAAGGGTATGAAGATTCAAGTATTGCCTTTATCGGACTACGAAATCCCGAAATAGAAGCAGACACACGAAATATGCATAAAACTGCTTTGCTTTTCACTGCCAACGTAACTTTTTCGTCAATATGACTATAATATTTCTTGTACCACACTTGACATTTAGATGCAAAAAGAGTTACATTTCTTTGAGTATATAAGCCTGTAGTATTTAAACATATGAGCACTTTCAGACTATTAGGTAAATAAATCGACCCTAAACGCTGTTCAACTGAGAATGACCATTACCATAATGATGTATATAGACGTTAAATATTCAGAGCAGCAAAATACTCACTTGTTTGGACTCCACTGATTTTAATGAATCTTCAGAAATAACACCTAAGTGTAAATCACTAAACTCCTTCATAAACTCCTCGAAAATAATATCATCTACAGCAGTTAGTCTTAGTTGTGACAAGTCGGGAGCTGAACAAAGTAAACGGAAGTAAGCTTCTGCATGATGGAAACACCGTTCGGCCCATTGTATCTCAATATTCGGCTAAAGTTTAATAAAGTAAACACATTCAGTAATTATGACAAAAATTTGTTAAGTATAAAGAACAAAAAACTGGTTTCCTAACAGAAGTTTCACAGAATTTAAGGCAGTAATTTATATTTATAGAATTGTGCAAAGATTTAAATATTTAGATAATTTTGTTATTCTTTTACAGATTGAGCTTTTCTACGTCAATATTAGAGTGAAAGTTGCACGAATTAGTGGGTCTCAATAATACTTCTAAGGCGATCACGAACCAAAAAGGTCCATTGCGTCACTTTTATCTTTAGGCATTACTAATTTACTGCATAAGCTTTGCACTTGAGGGTTATTCAACTTGCTTTTCTTGCTTGTTTACTATCAAAAGCCTTTAAATGGTAAAAATATTTACGTCACTAGGCAACTAAACGAGAGATTGTAACCGAAAGCAGATTCTTTGATCAATTCCTCAGTCTTCACCTAATATTAGGAACCTATTTACGAAACCCTATTGGAAAACGTAAACTTTAAGAAAGGTTACTGGCTCCTAGCCAATAATATAAGTAACTTTTTCAGTTTCCGAGTATGATATTTATTGACCACTTCACATACTTGGGGAGTTGCATCAGTTCGAACGTGTTAGTCGCAGATAAAATCTCAGCTCAGATACAGACGACCCATTTAGCACTTCCCAATTCGCGTCACTTGTGGTGTCGACTGGCGAGATATTCGACTGTCTATCAAAGGATGAGTTTGCTGCGCTGCAATCCATTCTGTCCTGTTATGTGGTGGCGAGATATGACCGTCAAAAGTAGAAGACATGAAGCGGTTACAGGGTTTTGATCATTGGTGTCTTCGTAGCACTGCTCGCGTTTAGTGGAATCACTTTGTGAGCAATGTGTAGGTCAGACGAAGGGAACTAGGCGGGTCAATTGACGAGGTTGTGAACCTTCATCAACTGAGGTAGTTCGTACATGTGTTGCACATGCCGAGTTGAGTCACCACCTACCTCGATTTGCTACCCTAGGGGATGTTGCATTAGAATCAGTGGTTGAGAACTCTTGGTGACATAGCTACAAATCAGTCATAATGGCGCCGATATATTCACTCTTTGACGTCCTCTAAAACTTGAATATTCGCACAAACCTTTGTCTTCAATTGCTGATTCTCTCATGCAACTTTGTGTACTTTGATATCAATCTTTTTCTACCCACCTGTTCTTTGTGTACTATTGTGAAGTGTGGTAACTTGAACCGATTAACGTGTGTGTGTGAGGTTCTACGCTGGTTTTGCTCGTCTATCTGTCTTTATTACTGAAAAATACGTTACTAAATTTATCGAAGGGTTACAATTATAAGCCGGTTAGGCAACAGTTAAGTTCCAGTTAAAAGTAGTTAGTTCGGATGGTTGTAAGTAAAATAAAGAAACTATGGCTAAGTCTATTCTGTGGGAGCAACAAATATAAAGTTCAGTGAATATAATCTGAAGCTATCGGTTTCTTGAACGCACAATGAATTCACTTATAAGTGAAAATAAGACAGCTGATTCATGTGTACCTAATCTGCCACTACTGTTTAACTTAAACCAAACATACGGTTAGGTAACAACAACAGTTAAATGTTTGCTTATTTCTGACCAAAGATAACGATTAAGTTCAACTGAATGCGAATTGTTGAAGTTAACAAAGTACACACTTACATCATTAACGTATTTCTCAGCGTCATATGATAGCATTTTGAAGTAATGAGGATACAACACGTCCTTCCTTTGAAGGAAATATATATCTGAAAAAAGACTAGATGAATGCCAAAATAATCGTCGTTTATGACAAATATTTGATACTTAAGTGTTGGTTAGATTCTGAGGGATTGTAATAGTATTAGTTAAGGGCAGTGAATGATAACTATATGCAGAGTCAGCGCAAAAACTGTAGGTTTTAAAAGGCAAACAACCGGCTTGCCTGTATTTGCTATTTTACGTAATAATCTTAATTAGCAAAAGATTCCCATACATGTGCTGCAAGTTCTTATTGTACCTAAAAACAACAATAATGATAAGTCCAACGAAGTAAATATGCAGCACGAGGCATTTTTAGTGTACATTTATGGAACTAAATAAGTTGATCCGGGTTCGAACCGCAACCGACCTCTTGAAGGTTAGATGTTTACGCCAATCAGTCACATTTCATTGAATCGGAATCGCTAAAAATTTATAGAACCTACCTACTGATAGGTGATTTACGATGATTAAAGATAGTTTCGCAAACAATTTAAAGGATTTAGTTACAACAGATAGTGTAACATAACTAGACAGTTCATAGTGTATTCCTACCTTAATAACCTTGCCTATAAAATTTCTAAGGAGGAAATAATTCAGTTTTATTTGTTTTATGTCAACAAAAGGAAATAACAATCTTGAGAGATATTACTGTTTCAACAATCACATAAATGTATGTATAGTAATTTATGAGCTAAAGTTGTTGTGCAAACATTAGTAGTACTATTTGACTATCTAAGCTCTAACAGATGAAGTTGTTTTATAACCAGTAACCCACTGAGTGAAAGTTGACTGCCTTAAGAAGTAAGCCATTATTTCACTACTAAGGTGGTAAGCACCAATATTTGATCTTACAATGATATATAGCAGTGATCTAAAGTATGTTACTATGTGAGGTTCTGAACTACTATAATGGTCTCTGAATGTAAGTATAGAATTTCGGCCCTGTGGGAGGATGTTATTTAATATTAGATTATCGAGTATGGGATTATAACTTTCTCTGACAGGACACTTTTTGTTCAACAATTTAGATTCGCAGAATGCCATTTTTCATTCATCTGTTTTTTTAGAAAACGACTTTAGGGCTTATTGACAAGTACTATCCTAACCACCGTGCGCTAAATTGAATTTCTGTTATCGTTGTTCGCACTAAGTAACTGCCATGACTTAACATGACCTTCACGAACTGTTGAAGCTCATCAGTGTATTCCGATAAGCAGAGGGTACAATGGTTTGCGTAAGTTTTATATGTGACAGATCAAGTAGTGTCACGATATGACAAAGATTATCTGAAACATGGTGTGTTTCAGCGCTATACATTTTGAACAATCTTATCGCACATTATACCTGTCGAATAATTTATATGAAAACTGAAAGAGGTTAGTCAAACCAATGGAATTGTAATTAAGAAAGATAATGAGGATAGAAAGAAAGATCAAACGACCACCGCCAATTGTATGAAGGGTTGAACTCAATACTACCAGCGTGTTTAGTGTAAGTACAAATTGTTGCTGAATAATTAAAGGGGATTTAAATTCATGGTTGGCAAGGGCTTCGATAATTCCGAGTATTTATCCTTGACCATATCGATACGATACAGTGAAGGCTGTCTTCCAATGAATTTCAACCAGTTTCTAATGTGTTTAGCAATCGATGAGAAAGAACGCTTGTTAAACTATCGTCTTTACACTCAGTGATTAGTCATAGGGGGTGGTTTGATTTTAAGGCCTATCCACAAGATGTCGACTTGGAGTGTGATTCTAAAGGCCGCACTAGCAACAGCTGAAATAAACGATTGAGTTTTACTATTTCAGCTCGAAAAGATAATTTTAATAAACTAGTAGAATTGGTCATTTCATTTGTTGGGGTAGTCTTTAGAGTCACTCCAACTTGGAAAGGACAATACCTTAGTTATTGTTTAATCGAATGTAGGCATAGCTCAATCAGGTGTTTATTGAATTGAGTTGCTTGTATTTTCACAGAAGATGCAAAAGAAACAGGTGATGGATACATTAGGGCAAAATGGATGTCCATTAAAATTTATTGCCAGGTGTAAAATCGATGACACTGAGGCCGATTAACCGGTATTCTGTCCCTACGAAGTGCGTATATCACATTGCTATACAGGGATGAATTGAATATTTGGATTTTAACGAAAAGATGAATCGGTTGTTACAACAACATACTATGTCACCAAGGTCATCTTATGGGAAAAGACACACCCTATGCTTCAACGAATGCCTAAACAACATATGAACGAATGCAACACATTCCATTGTAGGAGAATATGGACTACTGAACTGCGACCCCTTTGCTCAAAGAAAACGTGCTGGTAGCGGAAACTAAAGGTTGTGTGTGTGCACTGCCGAGTAACATACTGGAAACAAACAATTATTCAGTGCTTTCAGTTTTTCAACGGTTCTCCAAATAATTCCAGTCCATGATGACTACCAACTTGCCTTCGTATTGTATCGATCAATTTACGTGTGGGCTCAAATAGGGAGGAGCAACCCAGACAAGCGGCTGAGAAAGCTTGAATATGTACCGAAGTGGATTCAGAAAAAAATGGCCTCTAATCGTTTGGTAGTCGCAGATAGCAAACTTCCTTCTTCATCGATTGCTAAACACATTAGAAACTGGTTGAAATTCATTGGAAGACAGCCTTCACTGTATCGTATCGATATGGTCAAGGATAAATACTCGGAATTATCGAAGCCCTTGCCAACCATGAATTTAAATCCCCTTTAATTATTCAGCAACAATTTGTACTTACACTAAACACGCTGGTAGTATTGAGTTCAACCCTTCATACAATTGGCGGTGGTCGTTTGATCTTTCTTTCTATCCTCATTATCTTTCTTAATTACAATTCCATTGGTTTGACTAACCTCTTTCAGTTTTCATATAAATTATTCGACAGGTATAATGTGCGATAAGATTGTTCAAAATGTTTCAGATAATCTCTGTCCTCTCATTGCAGAAGCACACGAGAACGGTGCGTGAGAATTAGTAAGTTGCAATGTCAGGTCATTTGATGATGTAGTCAAAATCGGGGTAATATACGGAAGCTCATGTTGCATAGCAAAGACTTCGTCCTTAACCATAATACTTAAATGGAGTAATATTAACAGATGCCTGATAGTAGGTGATGTAAATGTATTTTACGTCTATTGAGTGGAGCTCACATCTCCAAATTCAAGCAGCTGCTTTGATAGCGACCTATTTTTATCAGTTCTAGAGGGTGCTCTGGTTTAAAATGTCATTAGTGCATGTTTTGATCTACGGTATAAACCACCGCCTAGACTTGGTTTTACAAACCAAAAAGTGGAAGTAACTGATCTCCAGCACTTACCTCCATTAGCTAATAGCGACCACGTAGTACTGAACATACGAATTAGATTATGACTCCGTTCCCCCTAGACGGAATGTATGACGTGCAGACATGCTGACTATTAAGGAGTATGCAGTAACACTAAACTGGACTGTGGACAATAACATACCTGTAGATGAGGCTTGAGAAAATGCTAAAGATACATTTGACGATGCAAGGTCACCCGTTTATCCCATGGTCAACTTTACGTAGGCATTCTCACTGCCCTCCCCCTCCCCCATAGGTTTGTGAGAGTATATTGGGACTCCTAAGGAGGAGGCAACGACTGTGAAGCTTATTTTATAAACAGAGAGTGAGGCTTTTAGGACTCTGTATTGCAAAGTTAGGAATACGTATCAATCAAATATTACGAAGCAAAACATAAAATAAGAAAGGCAACTTGCGACTAGCTGTCAGGTCTGTCCAAATCGGTTATTCTCATACATTAAAAGGAGAATGAAATGTAAGGATGGAGTCCCATCTCTTCTGACGGTTAAGAATTGAGAAGAGTTTGTTGAGTATAATCTTTGCAAAGTTGAATGCCTCTTTGACTAATTTAGCAAAGTCTTTTCAGTAGACGATGTTATTTCTCTGACCAGTATGCTCGAAAATGTCTCATCATGAGCCTAGTGCGCATCACAAAAGAGGAAGTCTTTCGGCTACTGAGCAACCTTAAACCTGGAAATTCGACATTATCGCCAGACTGTGTGGGGAACTATTCAATATCTCTATCTCAAACTCGGTTTCCGAGAGACTGCAAATATGCTATGATCAGCTCTGTTTTCAAGGTAGGCAGTAGACGACTGGTATACAATTATCGTCGCATTATTTTACCTAGTAAAGTACATCAACGAACTCGCGGATGTTAAATCACCGGCGTTCTTATTTGCCTATGGTGTGAAAATATAGAATGTCATCGTAAACACTGACGACAAATGTGACTATAGGCGGACCTATATCCACTAGTCAAGTGGTTCGATTATTGGTGTCTAGCAATTAATTCTAGCAAATGTGCAGTTATGCACAGTGGTCATAGTAGCTGTCATCAGAAAGTGATAGGTGGGGCACCACTACCTGATGTCCAAGAAATTAGACTTGCGAGTTATATTCAGCCATAACATGAAAACGTCTGCACACTGCACTGAAGCCGCAGAAAAAGGGTTTCGGATATTGTGGTCCCCCTGCAGAGCATTCAAATGTCTCAACGAAGATGTTTCAGATTTTGCAACCCACGTTTTTGTTACCCACTCCGAATACTGCATCCAAGTGGCCAGTCCTTGCTTCATAGAGGGTGCTAAGCACAGAAGTGCGTTTAAAGACTTGGTAATAATTTTTTGACTGGTCTACCTAGCCTATCTTCTATGAATCATTTACGAAGAATAAGCCTTTCAACAGTCTTAATATAGGAGAACAGGAGATCTAACAATGACCTTAGGATTGCTTTCGTATTTTTCCTCTCGCTCAAGGACCAACCATCTTCAAGACCACCACAAGTTGAATCAATTTAGAGTATAAGTACCTCATACAGAGTTGTCAACTATTGGAACTCTTTACCCATCAAACTGAAATCTGCTCCTTTGTTGAAAGC